TGGACTGTGTGAAAGTCAAGAGAAAGAGATTGGCCCCTCCCTAAGGGCACAATGGTTATAGTTGGGCGATTAGGGTTAGTCTGGTGAGATTCTGTCTATTAGGTGCAAGCTAATAAAGAAGCTGAGCTGATTTCTGGACTGTCTCGCGGTGATTCTTGGGCTGAACCTGACACCCATTTCCATATGCCTGTTTAGTGGCACTGATGCCTTGTAGCATTTCCATATCTTCCTTCTGAGGTAGGCCTAGGCTCACATGTTTTGCTGCTGTGGCCACAACATGTGGGCCTTAAATTTCTGCAGCTGATGTTCAATTGTAACTTCAAAGAGGTAGCAGGGAACAATTAGGATCGTTGACAACTTCCCTGAAGCAATCCTCAACCAGGGAGTATCCAGATGGGAAAGCCCCAATCTGTAACGTTCGCTTCTTTGTATCAATAACTGTTCACTTGAATAAGGTCCTTTAGTTGGGTTCCAAGCTGGTCCCCAAAGTATACATTTTAATAAACGAAAGAATCGATACCATAAGAGGAGTCGAATAAGTGCAGTTTGATAAGGAAACAATGACTGAAAGAGGTGACTGGCTCTCTTCCCTGGATGTGTTCAAGTGGAGGCTAGACAGCCATCTTTAATCTGGATTCTTGCATTGAGCAAAGGGCTGGACTTGTTGGTGCCCTCCGTTTCTGTGATTCAGAATCCTTGCCCCACCACCTGTGGGTTGATATCATCTCTTTGTAATGAAAACAGAAATTAAAGACAGATGAAGAACTCTAGAGCCCCAGCACTATTGTACCCCTGGGCTCAAGTATTAAGGACCAGCAGTGGACGTGTCGTTCTCCACCACCCCATTGGATAATCCTATGAGACCAAATACCACACACACATACACACACACTCAATAATCAGCAGACAAGCGTCCTCTAAGGCAGGATTCTTTTTGCTTCTTTAGAACGGCAGCGTGTATCAATCCTGACTTTTCCCCGTTTTCCTTCACTGTAAAAAGGCCTGAATTTGGACTACAGCAAAGGCTCGGAAATTCTGAAAGAGGGAGGGGAAAGTACTTTTTTCTCTCAAAAAAAAAAAGCACCCTGACTGCAGAGTCTAGGCTAGAATTCCAAAGGAAGTTGAGGGCCTCCAGCTCTACACAGGAAGCGATCTTGGAGCAGGCCTTAAATGCTAGATTCCAGGCAGAGTTTAACTAACCACTGACAGCTCTGTAAACAAAGCCGGGACAAAAAGAGAGAACAGCTTTCCCTTTTCTGGTAGTCATTTTTAGTTGGGGGGCCTGCAGGAGAATTCTCCTATATTTGTCTCGATAGGATATAAACCAAAGCCTGAAAGGGTTTCGTGCACGAAGGAGCTATAAGGGAGCAAATATTTTATGGAGTAAACCTATAAGAAGGTAGGTGCAGCTTTAAATGGCAGACGCTTCAGTCTGTCCAATTCTTCTCCCCACCCTGTCTCTCAAGCCTCGGTTTTAATTTTTTAAGGAGGATTTAGAGCAACCTTTTTACTGGGTAGTATTTTCACCATTAGCTTCTTTTCCTCTTTTGTTCCTACTGATTTCTGACGTTCCACTTTTAATCTTTCCAAAATGCCTCCTTTTAGCTTTGTGATTAGCAAAGAAAGTAGCATTAAAGTATAAAGTAATATTTTGCTGTTGGAAAATAGTTTGTTTTAACAGTTACGAATTCTTTTCTGACCGTCGCACGTCTGCACTGGTACAAATTTGATGCTATAATGAAATAACCTTATTTGTGGTTCCAGTTATCATACTGGCAAATATCACCCTTAAAGTTGATGTTATGATTATTATTTTGCTAACAGTTTATAATTGTAGGAAGAAGTCAGGAATCATAAATAGTTCTTTTAAGACCTATCTCCATCTGCTTTCACCAGATGTAAAATGTTACTGCTTTGTTTTAATTTCCAGTTAGGAAGCTGAGCTCCAAACGGAAACTTTTTAAACATTTAATGAAATGTTGGTGATGCTGGAGAATCCTTTTTACCTTAGATATGAATATGACTATACTTTAATATGATTCTGTTAACGGCAAGCTTCATTTCCAGGTCTAGTTCTGACGGGTTTTTTTCTTTCTCTCTCTCTCTCTCTTTCTCAAATTCAGTCTGATTTGGGGGGTTTATCTGAACTTGAATATACATCATGGACGACTTTGAACGTCGCAGAGAGCTTAGGAGACAAAAACGGGAGGAGATGCGCCTGGAAGCAGAGAGGTGGGTAATTTTTGAGAATATTGGCCATGGCCTGATTTTTTAAAACGTTTTTTAAAGCATTGCCTTTCAAACCTCATCCAGTTAATATCCGGGTGCAAATCAACATACTGTGTTGTCCAGACGTTTGCAGAAAACACTAACATCTCCTCTCTACGAAGGCTTTCTGCAAACCCCGTGTGCCCTCAGTTGTGCCTTGGAGAGAATTCCTGAACTAGAAGAGGTGACAGAAGGCAGATATGGAGCTTGTTTGGTGCTTATAGGTTTCATCAGAAGAGAGAAGGAGGAGCTGGTAATAGTCGTGTTTAAAGTGTCTAATTACTATCATGTAGATGTAACTGTGTTGGACTGCCTGTGATGAAATTACAGGGTGTTTGAATAGAGGCAGGTTTGGAACAATTTTAATGTCTTCCAATAGGAGATTATGTATCAGTAAATATTTACTTATTATTAATACAGAGAATGTCTAATTTTAGTGAAGTCTCTCAGATTTAGTCCCATAGAACCAAGCTTTGATTGTTGGGTCGGTGTTTGTTTTTATGTAAAGGAAATCAACATTGGGGTCTAACAGATTTAGACACAGGACAAACCAGCAGTGGATCTCAGGGAAGCCCCTGGTGCTGAGGATGTCTGCTTGATGGTGTATCTCAGCTGCATTCCCCAATGCAAGAACCTAGGCAAAGGGACTCTTTAACCCCTTCTCATTCATTCAGAGCTTTTCCCCAACATATCACCTGTGTATGAACCAAGAGGCAGCCAAAAGAGCAGCTGAGGTGCCAATGGGAAGAATTTTGCAAATAACAGCTTCTGTTGTTCCCTTGGAGAAAATGGTTAAAAAGAACAACTTGCCTAGAACTTAGGGCAGATCTGCATTTTCTGCCTGACCCATTGCCAGGATGGGCCACTTGCCACTTCCTAAGGGCAGGAATGGATTGTATCTTCCCCCATTCCCAGCCCATCTCAAATGCACCCCACATCCATTGTTTCCAGTTTTCATTCAAAACTGCTGACCCAAGCCATTGTAAGAACAGATGCTCTCCAGTGCTTTGTTCTGATCTAGTGGCAGCCCCAGCTCTGATTCGCTATAGTGCCTGGCATGCCCCCTTCCCTCCAGCAGCTAGGCATTGCCCTGGGCAGCCATTTTGTCCTGGATTGCCAGGCTGTATGTTCTGTACTGGTTGGCAGTTGCTTTTTTTTTTCTTAACAATCTGGTGGTTGATCCAATGGTGACCATCTAAGTCAATGAACTATCCTCCACCCTAGAAGCTCATACTCCAACCCTTACATTGCCTAATGGGCACCCTTTCACTTTCTGCCCAGGTTGGGTGAAGGACGTTCCCCTTGCTTTTCCACCCCCTGCCCAAAGACCTGCAAAGCTTCCCTTCCCTTTTGTTTTTTTAACAGCTTCAAATTGCAATATAAGAGCATTGCTGCCTTGTTTCTATGAAACTGAACAATCAGTTCTTCCTTGCTGCAAAGTTTTCATAGACCTACAGAGGAATGTAAGAATGAAAGAACAACTTATCCCCTGTTGCTCTGGCTATTGTAGCATCACATCTATAAAGGGAAAAGAAAAAAAAAAACTAGAAAGGGTCTACATTAGTGACAAAGCAGATAATGTGGGAAGGGAGGTGAAGGCATCTATGTGTGCAAACATCTAGAAAAGCAAACCAAAGGCATGAGGAGTGGTGAGGAGGGAATAACCTCTAAAAGGAAATGGTGGGACTGGTAGACTGGTCTACACAGGAACCAGCCAGTGAGGATGGGAAGGGCACAAAGCAGGGGAACAACCACAAAAGTCTTGCAATGGCCATGATCCAAACTAAGCACCAGCCTAGCCCTGTGGCCAACCCCTGCAATCCAGGCTGAAAGTACTGAAGTTGTCTTAAGAAACAAATGGGAGCAGTATATGAGACAAGCAACTTAGGCTGCAGTACAGAGGTGGTGTGCAGAGGCAGAAGCCACTGGTGGAAGTAGGTAAATAATTGCTTTTCTTGAATCACTGCAGAGTTCAAATGATTTGCTAGCCAGGTATTTGCGTTACTTTGCCCAAGTAATGTGTGAATGAAGGCACAGCTTTGAGAAGCTGGACGTGACATCTCTTACTTTTTACAAGTTTGTTAATGGTTCTAATTGATCTCCTGATTTAGAACAATTTGTACATGAATGCAAATCAAGGTGCACACACAAATTATTTGTTGTTATCTGGAGTTGTACCCAAAGGAAGCTTGGACAAGATGTTCTTGGTGGTTTCCCCTCTAAAATGCTCATGTAGCATTAAAGCTATGGCCATCCTCCATTTCTTTGCCTGTAAGAGACCAGTAGGAACCACCTCCCATTGATGGGGTAATAAGAAATACTTTCCTTGGAAGAGCCTGGCCTTCTTTTTGTTCCTTTCACTTCTTCATCCCATGAAGAGTATATATTCTCAGCCAGTGCCCAGCAAAGGCTATCTGAGCCACGGATCTAACTACAGCATTGATTGAAGGTAGCATCTCAGGAACATTGTTGTCTAAAGGGCATGCAAACATCTCCATATGGGCCCTTTTCAAAAACTGTGGCCCATGTTTATCATGTGCTTAGATTCTGCTTGGTTGAAAATCATACATTCAGGCATGGTATCATCTGAAATGAAATATTATGGAAAAACAGGGCAGCACCCAGGCTGCTGAGGAGAGAGCCCCTGCTGTTCCTTGCACGAATGGCCAAAGTACATTTTCAGCAGAAAATGCTGAGAGGCAAGGAGGCAAGGAGAACATCTTCTTAATGATAAAAATATGGGGAATTTCTTTCTCACCCCCCAACTCCCTCCTAAACTCTGAGAACATCTGCTGAAGTGTGACTGCAATTTCAGTTCAGCTGCCTCTAGTTCTCCTGCAGCAGAGGTCAAATTTAGCTGGCATTTCTCTCTTAACTCATTTCTTTATATAGGGTGCTCTCACAAATGGAATCTGAATCTCCCTTTGTATTGTCAAGAGAGTCTATAGCCTTACCCTTCAGAATATGCTAGTAAAGGCCTAACTGGAGCTTAAATCTGATATAGTAATGGCAACTTATGCTAGGATTCATTTCTGGAGCATTTAAAGCAATGAGCATGTACAAGTTACCACCCCTTTTTATTTCTTCTTCTCCTGCCTCCCATCATCAGAGAGCAGAAATAGCTCCACCTTCAAATATTTGGAATTAGTAGGCAGAGGACTTCCCAATCAAAAAAATGTAGTTTCTAGGCAAGTTGAAATCTTAACATCTTTCTATTTCAAAAACGTTCCATGGATAAAAGAGGAATCTATCTCTTTAGTTATTTGGAAACTATAGCTTAAGTTATGGAGTTAGATGGATTTACACAACCCACTAGGCTAAAATAGGATTGGATGGTTTGTGGTTCAGCTTGCTGTGGGAAGCCCAGCTGTTGTATTAGCATGTTTTGTAAGCCAGACCATCAGAAGAAACCATAAAATGGCTTATTTGGGCATAACTTGTTATGTGAACACAGCAATTATGTTTTATCAACCTGGCTTTAATAAAGTTAGCCATGCTCTGGGCCATCAGTCAATGGCAAAAGTCATGGAGCAATTATTAGTAATGTAGAACTCTTGCTATTTTCATGTTCCTTTTTGTCCTTTTCTTGGTGAAGTCTACAATAATAAGAGCAATGAAGAATATGTCTGGTTATCCTTGTGTTGAATGTTGCTACACTGCATGTCTCCAACACTGCTTCTTTTCAAGGGTAGGACACCACGTCATGCATTGTGCTTTACTCCACAGGTGGCATGAAAAAGAGATTTGTTTACATCTTGATGTTATTATTGTTATTTTGGTTTATATCCTGCCTTCCTGTTCATAAAGCATTCATGTAAACTGAACTAAATTTGCCTTTCAGACCAATACACAAAACCAAGCTTAGTTCTGCTTTGAAATGCAACCTTCTCTGCATTTTTACAGGTTTGTTAATGGTGGTTTATTAGTTAAAATGAATGATTATTAAGGGAAAGTCTGCACAAATATGGACCATGTGCCACTGCCTTACATTAGGGAAAATTGTGCCAAACAATCTATACATTAGGAAATAATTCAAACCAAAATGCATATTTGGAGAAAAATACAAGACACATACAAATTTTGAGGCAACCTTTTTTTAAAAAATAAATCATCAAACCAGTAAAGGAATAAGGGGACCTGAACTTGCAAATAGAAAAATGAGCAAGTGAAATTGACAGAGGGAGAGAATCAAAATTGGTAGACTCTACAGCCATCTCTACAGCCCTCTGCTTCAATCTAGTATCTTCCACTTGTGATAGGATTGCAACCTGCAGGATTTAGCCGTGCTGGCTGGAATTTTGAAAGATGCAGTCCCATTATTTCTGGAGAAGACACAACTGGGGAAGCCTCTAGAGCAGTGTTGTGCAAACTTGGCCGCTTTAAGATGAGTGGACTTCAACTCCCAGAATTCCCCAGGGCTGGGGATTCTGG